CTTTTACCCAGTTGTGCTACCCATGTTAACAGTGTTTTGTAACCTGAGTATAAAATAGAAAAAAAACAAATCATTTCAGGGGTTATGTATTTTGTGGTACATTGAAGACGAAATCCCAAACAGGAGGTTTTATGCCTTTAGAAAAGTGTATCTTCGTACTACTCAAAGTGCTCAGCTTCCAAGTATAGCTCTATAAAAAGAGCGCTTTCTGCAATTCTGTCTTTTTAGCAAAGTATGTATGCTGATGATGTTGAACCAATCCTGAGGCTTTACCTAGGTGACGTTCTCAGTGACCCCGTGGGACAGATTTGGCCGGGGGGGGTATTTCTGTTAACAGGCCTGAAGGATTAAACTTGCATTCTAAGACCAGCACAGCTTTTGACAAGACACTTCTATTTCTATTGGTGGCATGAAGCTATTGCAAAGAAAAGGCATGATATAACGTGCGCGTTTTCCTCCTGCAGTGTTTCTTGGAGAGACAATACAAGTCAGTGGTCAAAGAATCAGAAAGTCAGAAAATTCAGTGAAAAAAAAAATATTTTTAGAGGAAGTCAAACTGCCTGATGTATAAGCTTGTATTTGTAGAAAGAATAATTATATACAACTGGAGTGGTACCTCCTGGGAAGCACAAAAGGATACTGTGATACATTGCCCAGTTACTGTAGGGGAAGGCCTGGTGTAGGCTCTCAAAAGTCAGTAAAGTTCTTTGTGTTAAGTCAAATTGTGGGTCATGTCCTGGATTTATCATAATTACATTTAAAGTATTGTGATTAAAAACAAGCCCCAGATTTTTTCAATATATATAAATACAGTGGGAATTAACACATACCTTACAAGATCTTTCACAAATGCAGTTAATGTGCATGTTTTTAATGTGTTTTTTTTTTTTCTTTTTACTACTAGGCAATACTCAAAATCCAGAGGAAGAGGTTGAAATCTACAGGAAGCTGGTAGGTCAAATTTTAAAATTATATAAACTCTAGTATAATTAGGCTGACAAAAAAAGATATAAGCGGTAAGGTAATGAAACTTGCATTTACTGGGTATTCAGAGAATATGCAAAATCATTTAAATTTACATACTGAGGCGGAGAAAATGTGGTTTAGCAGAGGCAATTAACATGAGAAAGTAAGACAGATGCTGTGCAAATAATTCATAATGAATAATTTCTTTGCTCCATTTTGTGTTTGCAAGTTTTCCAAACAAACTAGTTTTTCTGATGTATATGTTCAAACTGTTTGCTGAATAATATCTATGCATAATTTTTTGTCTGTAATTCATTCACAAGCAGAGCTTTCTGAATATTCAAGGTTTTTTTGAATGGATATGTAGGTTGTACAATACACTTCTCTTTTCCAATTGGAGAAACATAACTTATAGGTTCCGCTATGAATAATCACAATATTTAACAATATTTGCTTCATTATTTTACCAAACATTCCTGCTAGTAAACTCATTTGTTAAAATAATAATGGAAAAAGAGATGCAAACAAAAGCAAATAAATTACGATGGCATCCCCTCTTTTGTTTCTCATTTGAGAAAAATAATTTGTACTGTCCATAATTCTGTTTGTCTTTAATTAAAATATATGAGGAAGCTGAAAATGCAAAATCATAGTCCTGGAGATACTCAGGTTTCATACGGCTGTAGCGTAGAGTTATACTTCAGTACCCAGAGTTCCTCGCCCAAACGGGGGTGCTCTCATTTACCTCACACGTTCTTCTTGACTGGTTTTCCGCCAGTTGTGCAGATCTGCTAAATGACAAACCGGCGTTTCTCGGCGGCTCTGAGCTCCCTGGCTCCGTGGCGGGCGCGATGGGCAGCTCGTGCCTCCGCTTGCGTTACGGCTGAATTTCTGTCCATTCTGTAGCCAAACATGGTATCAGCTTCTGCTGTATAGCTTACAGGGAAGACTTACGTGTGGGCAGATAATGAAGATAAATATACTATTTGTTGGCAGTCAAGGTGATTAATTGCGAGAGGCAAGCTTAATTATGCCAGTAGTAACAACCGGTGTCATGGGCAGACACCAAGTTTTTTATGGCCCATTGTTAGAAATGTGTTGAAGTTTGAATATGAGCACGTTAATGAATTAGTATAAACTGTGTCTTCTTACATAACAGGCGTATATTCTTAATTATATTTAGAGTCATATTTATTTGGAACACTGGAAAAGTCAGTTTTTACTTTCTGTAAGTGCAGCAGGTCATCAGACCTGAGAGACTGCAGCATTCATATGATAAATTGTGTATGATGAATTCAGTGATGAGTGAATTCCATTTGCAGAACCTTATTAGCAATGTAAAAAAAAATGTATTTGATTTTATATATTTATTTTGTACATGTTTTTATATTTAATATATTTATATCTCAGAATTTCTATTTCAGTTTACTATTTCAGTAGTGGTAACTTAAAAAAAAAAAAATAATCTTAGTAAGCTACGTTTTACATTCCTAAGGAAACAGTGGGAGAATTTTAAGTTCTCTTTTTGAGGTATCTTTATATCCCATTTATGCACTAGCACTGAGGATCTGATAGTCTCAGCTTACACCTTTTTTCCCTGAGATCAGAAATTAGCCTGGGAATAATTTATGACATGAGAAGTCCAGAGGATCCCCCAAACCTTTCTAACGCTAATAGGGCAGGAGAATGCAGAGAACATATAAATACAGTTTCACAAATGTCAATTCTGCAAACATGTATCAGTGTGAAAGTTCTGCCATTTTCATATTTTACACTGACTAATGTGAGAACACCAAGACAATTATTTTAAATAACCCAAGTATAGCTATATGTCTTTGGAAGAGAATGGAAATAATAAAATACCTTGCTTAGTAAGTCCTGGTGTAGTAGTGTGTTAACCAGCAATTACAAGTTCCTCTGGGTACAAAGAAATGATGGCATTAATGAGCATGGAAAACTAAACAATAGTTTGAAAATATGGAAAAATAACAATTAAGGGACATGAAAATTAGAAGGAAATTGCCAAATTCACTAATTTGGCAGATTTAATATAGCAATCAACTTTGTTTTTAAAAATGTGATATATAAATTACAGTAAGAAAATAACAGAAAACATCCATTAAACTAATCTAGTTGAGTATATACTCTCATTTATCCTTGGGTTACTTGCCTTCTCTTCTCTTGCCTTTTTCAGCACTTGAAATTTCAACTTCATAAAACACCTGAACATCACAAATCTTACAATTATTGTATTTCATTGTCTTCTTTCCTATTTATCTACAGTTTAAAAAAGCAAATCTAGGTATTTTGTTAGTGATTGCTATATTATTTTTGTAATCTTAAACCAGACATTCTAGATTCTACATCCCTGCAAATATAATTCCTGCTCTAACTTCCCATTCTTCTATGGCTGCCTTCGTTTCTTTTTTACACTACAGGACTTCTTACTGGTAGGAGTGATAAATGAACATGTTTCTTTGCATTATACATACTTACAGCAAATAAACTGTGTATACCATATCACTTTATAAATCTATTGCCCAGTGCTGTTATAGCCAATGCATTAAATACTGGGCTTCCCATGGACTGCTCACTGCAGTTTAACACAACAGATAATGAAAGGAGATCAGGCATGAAAACTTCCTCTTTATCTTGCACCTTTGTCACACAAAGTAACTGATAACAGCTAAGTTCATCATCCTTCTTTCATACAGTATTCAGGGAATCAGGCACTTAAACCATGACCTTGACAGAGAAAGGACTGTGTCATCTTGTTTAGTCTGTGGCAAAAATGGGGCCCTGATCCTGAATGGAGTTGTTGGATTTTGTCAGAAGAAAAATAAAGGAAGTGAATACTTCTGTGTGCTTCTACGGAACTTCTTTTCAAGGAAAACATTTTAAATTAAAAGCAAAGAGGGTAGAAGAAGGCACAGAGCATAAAAGTTACTCAAGAAAAATGGGGCTAAATTAAGGCGAAGCAAATAAAAAATAAATTTTTTTAGCTAATAGCTTAAAATAAACATCAGTTACATAGTCTCTATTATTTCTTCAAAATGCTGTGCTATAACACAGAATTTATGCTATCTGTTTGAAAAAAGTTATTCCAATCCTGAGAATTTTATGTTGGTTATTATTATTTAATATTTCTCATTGTCTTGGTAATTCTTGCATACTAAGAAAATTTTAAAAATATTGTTCTATTACATTTTCTAATGCCAAGTAAGCCTATGAAAGTTAAAAGATTGACTGATACGTCATAGTATTTTGGGGTAGCAAATTCAGCTTTTCCCCCCTCTAATTCCGCCCCCAGACTCCAGTGGTCTTCTTTAAAAGGAATAAATGCTGTTAGTAAAGTTTCCATTCGTATTTTATGTATGGCTAGAAGTTTTTTACTTAGAAGGTAAACTGTCACGAATTGCATGCTCCATTTTATATATTGTACGCTTTTTTTTTGTCCTCATCATTCTTCCCCCAATCATTCTTTGCATTTTTACATGCACCTTCCAGTAGATGACTTATGTGCACCTTTACACATGCTTACTGCTGAAGCAGACTGCTAACTTAATATTGCTTTTGAGTCAGACTTTAAATCTTGTACTGACCAAATTAATTTCAATATTATGCAAAATAGGTACCGTATCCTTTACATCTTGCTAGTTTCCTTTTCTCTTCTTTTTCTCTGTATATTGTTTCAGATATATCATTGGACCACATCTTGTGGCTAAAACCCTTTAACTGACCTTTCACCTAGACTGCATACTAGCACTGTCTGTGTCTGTTATCATTTACCTAAACTGAGTCTCATTTTCTCTGTGCAGAGTATGTATCTGTGGTGTACTCCATCCCAACTAATACCAATTCATGCAGAGCTCAGAAAAAATACTTCTGATATCAGAAATAAATGTTCATTTTATCTTCAGTTCATTTTGTCAGTGAACTCATGGTTACTAACCAGAATGCTGCCTGACCTCCACAGTTTTTATCATAATCACTTTGTAGTATTTTCTCCCAGACCAAAAATGCAAAGGCATTTCTATATACAGCCAACTACATAAAGCATATACTTTTTTTAATGAGTAATGGTTTACAACCTCTCAGTAATTACTGCAGGAAAACAAGTGAAACTGTTCATCCTCTGTGGTGTCAGAGTCATTAAAATGGCTAAGAGAATTAACATTGTACCAGCTTGCAATTACACTCAATAGCAGTCAGCAGCTTGCAAAACCAAACTGAGGACTAGTTAAGAACTGTATCTTCCATTTATGTTACAAGAGTAATGAGAACATAGATTTCAGAATTCAGGAACTGGAATTTAGATTTGTATTAGAGACCAGTATGACTCCAGTAACTAGACAGGCTAGAAGAAGGTAAGAGACCCGGTTCCTGATTCACACAAGTAGGGATTGCCCTGATAGTTGTGTATTTAGTTTAACATTTGTATTAGCTGTTCAGGGTTATCACACAAGCACTCGTAGTACAGGAACTACAGTACAAACAGCGCGTCCCACCAACTCTTCAACAGTGATACCTCATTTCAATACCCACAAGATGTTCCATGAGAGCTGGATATTTGAACACAGAAATTCTTCTCAGAGCCCAGTGAATTCTCCTCTTGATCTACCGGATGAGCAAAGGCTCATCATATGCTTGGAGATGGTACTAGTCCACTTTCACAATAAGTTGGCAGCCATATCCTTCATGATTCTGTTGAAGTATTTGTGGTCAGCAAAGATATTATAGGGGAAAAGGGGTTTAGGTAAGCAAGTCCAGAGTTCCGCGTATGTAGAACACGCTGCAGACGTGCACCGTGACAGGCAGGTGGTATTCCACTCAAGTTTGCCCCGGGGGCTGGGGCCTTCGGTAGGGATGGCTGTGCACAGTGAACACGCTCATTTGCAGACAGCAGTTTCTCTGAAGAAAAATGATTCCTCTTTCAGTACAACAGTGTTCTGTGCCTATAAAAGTCTTCACATTTTCTCTGCTTTCCACTGAGCGGGTATTACCTACAAAGATTTTCCATCTTTTTTTCTCCTCTTCTTCTTCCAGAACTGCAAACTTGTTGATGGCTTTGAATTGTTCAGAGCTGCTCAAGCATATAGCAAGGAGCTTTCTACCTGCTCGGTACTTCCATCTGAGCCATTTCAAAGACAGGCTATAATTCTTACAAGGTAGATGGGCTGGCTGGAGAAGGGAAGGGGAAAAAAAAAGGCTAAGGGACTGGAAACTACCTGAAAATACTAGTACAATTTCAACACCTTTCACTTTTTTTCTGTTTGACAAATTACAGACAGCTTCTGGCAATATTTAAGGGGTGACACAAACTCCCTCATTTTAATGGCAAACATGCACCACATTTACTGAGTTACCAAAGATGGTAATTCCAGTCTGTTAATTTTTTTTCTTTCTTTCTTTTTTAATAATTCAGACTGCTGTTTGGAGGATGTATTTCTTACTGTTCAATTGCAGACATAGGATTAAGAATGAAAATAGGACATCTAAATCAGGTGCAACTAATGACATTCCAGTACATATAATAAATGTGGGAAATTGTACCAATTAATTAAAATAATCCTCTTTACAATGTGTTAAAGCATTTGAGAGGCATTGTTCAGTAAGATAAGCTCTCTCTTTATTCTGAAGAGTTGAGTCCTGTGTTGTTATGGTGGATCATTGCATATCATGATTTATAGCTTACTGAGTGGAAAAGCTATGGTTATCATCTGGTGTGACCCCTTGTGTGGTTCCAGCCAGGGAACTGCACCTGAACTTCACCCAAGTAACCACTCCATCAGTCCCATAACTTACATTTGAGATACAACGTATCTTTTAGAAAGGTTTTCACTTCTATTTAAAGACTCCAAGAAACACAGAATTCACATTCTGTAGGTAAAATGTTTGTCATTAATTAGCTGCAGTCTTAAAATTTCACTTTCATTGTACAGTGCATTTACATAGCATCAGCTTCCAGAAACTGTCTTTAATTATGCCTGTTTTGATCAAGCTACAGCAATGTGTGTGGTGGAGCAGCTACATACTAATAGAGGAATAATGATATATGGGAACACATTGAGAAACCAGCAGTTCCACGTTAGAAAATTCAAACGTGTGCTTGAAAGGCAAGGGGACAAGCATCCAGCATTTATCTCCAGTAAACTGCAAACCTTTTTTGTTGTCTCCTTTTTCCTTTCCTTTCAAATCACGCTGAAGGTCAATTTTTCAAAGAAGTGTGAGAAAGGCACCATGGCCCTTCTGAAAGTGGACGAGATGTTCTCATGTCAGCAGGTTTTGTAAGTGACAAGGTGATACCAAGGGAGACTCCAGAGATACTAGGGACTGAAGCTAATAAAGCCTGCAGGTTCTAGGCTGTGTATCCCAGGCCTGCCTTTTAAGCATCTCAGGCAGTAACTCATACAGCCAACAGGAAACAGGATGGTGATACATCGCCATCCCATTCCTCAGGCACTTGACTAAAATCTGAAGAAACTTATATTTGCTTGTGATGCGCTGCTTAGAACTTGTTCTTGAAGGTAGGCACTTACATTCTTTCCTCTAAAGAACTAAACAGAGCTAAAGGATTTAAAACGTTCTGGAGAAGTAGCCTGTGGCCATCATTTACTTATTAATCCAGTAGTTAAAGAGTTCTAACCCAAGAAATTAGATATTTGCTTTATTCTCCGCAGCCTCCTGCATATTCAGTCCAACATCTTCCATTCCCAGTAGAACACCCTTACCGCCAGAGTGAAGGGATGAGAACAAACCTCTCTTCCATCGAAGCCTTATCACCACATCTAAAAGAATCCAAGATCAATTTAAATAGGCAACAAGAGGAAGAGAGAGCATGGTTCCCTGTCTTCTGTTAGGACTCTCACTTTAAGGAGAAGACATCATTATCCTTCTCAAACATACAGTAATTGTCTCTCAGATATTCTAATTTTTATATAGTTATCATTAATCCTAAGTGTGGACACAAAGTCAGTGTTCCCACATTGATCTTACTAATAATGCCTAGACATGTAATTTCTGTTTGTTTTTGCTTTGATACTCTCTCTGCTACCCATCTACTCACAGCTATCATCTTTACTAACCCATAACAGCGGGAGCATATATTCAGTTATTCACCAGGAAAAACTAATGCTGTCTACTCTAAACTGTCCTCCAGAAAACGATCCCCCAACCTGAAGTGTAACCCACGTTCTTTTCCACCAGATACCTGACCTTGACTTCAACAGTCCTGTTGAACAAATGAGGCCACCTTGTCAAGGAGTCTAGATTGGTTTACGCCATTAACCCGTATCCATCATAATTGACCATCAATAAATCTTCGTTGCGTGGCATTTAATCAGTCATTTGTTTCTTCTCTCTCAAATCACTGATATATTAAGTAGCATTGTAATACTCTCTATATCGCTACTAGAAATACTCTGTTGAGATGAGGATTTACAAATATCTTTAGATTGTAGAGGCTAAACATATTTTGGTTTTTGCTAGTTTCTGCTTAATTATCATAAGCATCAAGTCACATGCTTTACAGACTGCGATGACAGACATTCCATTACCTTTTTCACTGAAACTTGCATTGCATCAAAATGTAGTTTGACAAGATTTGTTTCTCATCTGAGTGTAATTCTCAGTCTTTCTTCCCGATAGGGACAACTCATTACTTAACTGCAACAATCTTTTCAATACATCTCTAACATACATTTTTGCAATCTATTTTATTTTCAAGCAGAGAGATTATTTCCAGTAAAATGACTATCGCTGTATCTCTGTACAGAAGTGTCTCTGCAGAATCAAGACATCACCACGCATATGGCATTAAAATTTAGACCACAGCATTTGAGACAAGGACACATCTTGAAATCTGTGAAATGCCATAGAAAAAGATGAGGCCAGGGAGAAGTTGTGGTTACGTGGATCTTCTTCACCTCTGTGAATAGATGCAGGCAGTCCTCAAGCTACAGCCTTGCATGTAATTTGCCAAGCTCTACTAGTATGCTCAGCTCTCCCCTCTTCTCAATTAACCTTGAAAAGCTGAGAGATGCTTCCCTGCTGATTTCTGGATTGCCCCTTAAAACTCCTGCTCTTTGTCGACAGTTACAAAACTACAGTTGCAGTTGGAAAATTAACTCTGCTGTAGTTTTCCTTTAATCAGACATTTACAGTATGATTTTCCCAGCTACAGGTAATCCAGTGTGCTCTACTTAATTTCTCCACAGATTTTCTGTTTTATGAAATATAGACATGAAGATGGTTATGTTTTAGCAGCACTGTTAGCCCTGTTGCTGCGCATTACCCATGTCCAAGGCTACTTTTCAGTGCTGTTTCTGTATATCCTGGTTAATTTCAGTTGCCGCTTTCCTCCTGGCCTTGTCAAGAATCTGTACAAAGTTTTTGTAGGTTGACATCAGCTTGTGGCTAGGCGTTTGTCATTCTTTTATTTCCTGATCTACATCTCTTTACTGTTGTTTTTTTTTTTTTTTTTTTTTTTTTTTTTTCCCCCTGGTGCCATTGGTGTTTTCAGAGATGTGTAGCAAAGGGGGAGGGGAAAATTTAAGGTTAAGTAATAATCAACATCTAGTTATACTTTACAGAAAAGATAAATATTCTGCACAGCGTTTGGAAGAAACGTTATATGGAACATGATGTCTGAGGCTCACCTGCGGCCAGTTCATTGAGAAGGGAAAGATAACAGCTAAAGTCATTCCTTTCTGAAGTGCCGAACAGTTTGTTGAAACGGTTCTAACTTGTGGCAAAAAGATGGAAGCAGCTTTTTTAACGTTTTTTTCCCCGTGCGGAGGTTTCGCAGGTTTGCTGTTGCTGCTCCCGCGCCCCGCAGCCCCCCGGGGCCGGCCTGCCCGCAGCGCCAGCCCGCACGCCGCGGCGGGGGCGGCAGCGGGGCCGGGCTCGCCCGCTCCCGCCGTTACCTCAGCGCCGCCGCCTCCCCACAGCTCCGGCGGGGGCCGCGGCCTCCGTCCTTTCCCTCCCGGGTCCCGTCCCCTCGCCGGGGCGGCGGGCCCGGCGGGGGGCGAGGGGGCCTTTCCCCGCTCCCGCACCTCTGCGGCAGCGCTCGGCTGGGGCAGCCCGGCCGCTCCGCCGAGGGACGGGGCGCGGCGCGGAGCGCTGACGCCCGCTATGCGCAGTACCGGTCAAGGCAAGAAGGACACCCCACACCCACCCACCCGCGGCGTGGCGGCGGGGCGCTGCCGAGCCGCTGCTGCCGCCGCCGCCCCGGTGCCCGCGCGGCGGCCCCTCAGCGCCGCAGCCCCTCAGCACCGCCCGGCCCCGGCAGCGCGCGGGGGCCCTGCGCGCGCGCGGCCGGGTGCCGAGCGCGGGGATTGGCTGGCGGCCCCGGCCGCGGCGCGTGCAGCCGGGGGCCGGCGGGGCTGCAGCCAGAGCGCGGCTGGCGCGGGCGGCTGCCGGGGCCGCGCTCCCCCCGCGTCCGCGGCTCCTCCGCTCCGCTCCGCTCCGCTCCGCGCCGCTCCCCTCCTCGCCGTGCCGTGCAGTGCCGCTCCGCTCCCCGGGGGCGGCGGGAGGCGGTGGCTGCTGCTGTTCCCGCTGCTCCGCTCCTCGGGGGAGGGACGGGACGGGAAGGGAGAGGGAAGGGAAGGGGTGTCCCTCGTCAGTGAAGGAATCCGCACCGGTGCTAAGTTCTCTCCCAGAGACGGTGTGAGGCACTCGGGCTGCTCAACCTGCTGCTGCTGCTGGTAAATACTCTTCACTTCTTACTTGCCTACATGCTCAGGGCTCTCCTTACTGCTTTTCATTCGGCAACAGCGCCTAAAGCTGCAGCGTTTCTGTCTCTGTCGCTCCCTTCCTTTCTGCCTCCCACCCCCCACCCCCCTGTCTGTAATTGCGTTAGCGGAGTTGACAACTTCTGATATGTGTCTTAAAACCAGGCAGTAAGTGTTTTGTTTCCTGGAGCCGTTTAATTCAGCAGTTGGAGAGGTCATTAGTTGCATGAGTTCCAGGGAAAGAGGATTCTCTGTGCCTCTGCAATAAGTGCTGCTGCTGCTTTTCTGCCCATTAATTCTCATCCGTGGTCGCTGGTATTTCTTTTATTTTCACTGTGTCTTAATGCTGCCTTGTTCTTTAAACTGCTTCATTTTTTTTTTTTTTTTTCTTTTTCCTCGTCTGGGATTGAAGTACCATTTTTTTTTTTTTTTTTGCCAACAGTGTGGAAAGGTATCGCTGATTCAGAAACTATTGTCCACAGTGTGTCTTGGTTAGAAACAGGCAGAAATAAGAGAAGGCAGGCATTTGTATTCCAAAAGGGATTTTTTTTTTTTTTTTAAATATGCTGCTTTGCATCATTGCTGCAGATTTGCAGGAAGCAGTAAGGGGCAATAATATTATGTTGTTTGCGAAGATAATAAGCATAGAGGCACTTTGGTGTTTCACGTATAGCCCTACGATTGAGCTGGTTCGAAATTGCTCTTAATAATAAATTCATAGCTGTGGAGGAAGAGATTGCTGGCATGTATTGCATACATTGTTGAGACAATGTACCAACGTATTCTGACACCAGACCAAGTCCCTGTTAGACCTTATGTGGAGTGGCAGTTTGACAAGATACTGTTTTGTTTCTTGCATACATCCAAACTGAAATTTAAATAAGATGGCTTAATGGATGTGAATTGAGCTCTTAACTCTTTATCTCTGACCCAGACTTCTTTTTCAACACTTCTTGTTAGGATGCTTGTAAATGCTAGTGTAAACATCTATCTGTAGCAGTTTCAGATGATTTAATACTACCAATGGATTAATATGTGCTTTTTATGCCTTTTTTTTTTTCCTACTTCCATACTTAAGTGTGCTGTCCTTTTAAAAGGCTCAAAATGGAATGGCAAGTATTGTGTCTCTGTGTGTGTATATGTGTGTATGTAAATAGTTATATATATAATGTTTGTCTTGTACTTGTTTAAATTTACCTCATATTACGTGGAGAAAACAGGTATTATAACAGAATTGACATCCAGAGACACAGAATTAAAGGACACTGTTTATAATTTATAGTTGTATAGTTAAAAATTATATACGATCAAAGAAATTCAAAAATTGTGCATTCTAATGAAGTAAACTCTGGAAGTAGTAGTAGTACTGTAGTCATTTAACAAAATAAAGCTTGACTGAAACGATACAGAATGCAAGCTGTCAATAAGTACGTGTAATTGTCTAATACCCTCATAGACTACTTCATGGAATGCTGTTGGAAATCTGATGTATTTAAAAATGTAGTCTTTGTTAAGTGCAGAGTTAATGAAAAGGTAATATCACCTGTTAATATGGTTACTTTATGCAAGTTGAATATTTAACCGTGGTTGTACAGTCTCAAAGTTTTTCTTCAAACTTCAGATGAATTTAGACAGAGGTGATTCTTTCTTCAAGACATTTGTGTTACCAGTCAAATTATACTGATCTGAGAAACTGGTGAATCTCCACCATATAGGATGATGACAGGTATTTTTCAAAGGGGTTTAGGTAAATGCTAGGTAAAGTGATTTTTACAAGGGGCTGGAAGCGTAAAGATAGGTAGCATTTCTTGTATTGTCAAGGTTTAAAATATGTACAAATAACGTATTTGGGCATAATTTTCCTGTACATTGGCTAATCAGTAACCAGGTTGGCAATTCCTTTAGCTTGGCCCATATGCTGATGTTTCTAGTGGATGAGTAATAAAAACTATTAATATATTACACTGATCTAAATTCTGTGATATTCAAAAAGCTAGCTGTGAGGTCTGAGCTTTAATTCATTTCAAGAAGAAAACTTTTTTAGCTGTGGTTTCTTAGTGTCCTGGCAACCTCTAAGAACTCACAAAAGTATTTTTTTCCTATTGTTAACATATATTCAGTATATTAAAAAAAAAAAAAAAAGTTTTGATCTAGATAATGTTTGAATTTTTATTCTGTTTATTTTAAAACATTTTCTGCTGAGACAGTGCTTATATAAAAGCAATAATCTTTCAATTCTCTATGTGCTTATTTTTCACATGGATAATGAAAATAAAAATATTGTGTTTCTGTGTCATTAGATTTCAACTGTTTATGTAGCTTGAGGAAAATTAACACATGAACATCACTAGTGACACTTTCCTCTAAAATTAAAATACAGTTCAATTTAGTATTTTGTACTAAAAGTCAAAGAGCTGCATGAGAAAATAGAGGAGGCACTTTCTCTGGTTAGGTCACGGAGATTAACAGTGGTAAGAGCGTTGATTTGAGGGGGCTCATAGTTAAATTTTTTTGCCTTTTTAAAGAACATTTTTATTTCTGGGAAAACCAGCTATATATATATATATATATATATATCAACTTGTGATATATTATGGTCATGGCTTTGGCATTTTCATGTCAAATACTGTTGTTTTTGTTTCTTCAGTCCAAGAAAATTTCTTGTGAACAGTATTACTGTTAGAATAAGTGATGGTGTAAGCTGTATTAGTGATCTTGTGCTTAAAATTATTTAGAACAACATAAAAAAGGGAAAATGTTTGTTCAGTTCAATCAAGGTCAATGTCTAGACTTTCTTGTTTGAGAGGTCAAACTAAACTGAAGGTCAAATTAGATGGAGACAAAGCTTATGCCACTGTTAGACCACTCAAGTCAATATACCGATGTTTGAAAAGCTGTTTTGTGTTTGTTTGCAGTTTACTGTGAATTTAATCCCTCAATCCTTAACATTTTTAGCAAAAGGCACATATAGGAGCAGCACCACTGAAGTCCATGCTTAAAGATAAGACCTAGAAATTATCCAACTGGTACTTTAAATAATAATATTCTTTTATATAAACGGATAGTTCTAAAAAGTCTGCCTTCCCTTGCCCTTGATCGGTAACAGGAAATAGTACCTTAGAATATAAATTAATTTCTAATAAACTGATTAAGAGATGTTTTAGTCCTGACTTGCTTTTTCAGTTAGTATTTAAAGGAAATGGCAAGTTTTTCCAGGCTTATTTTTTCTTTTCAACTACAGTTTACTTATCACAAGATCTTTATCAGGAAGAATAGTTCAATATTGTACTTGCTGTGCTACAATAGAAAAGGTAGTTTTGCTGATACCAGACATGGGCAGAACTGGTCCGTACTTTCTGACCTGAGGTGTCCCATCCTAGAGCCTTCATACCAGCTGGTAGTGACTCATCTTTCTAATTTCTTACTCCACAAAACAGCTCCTGTACAGTGTACTTACAGTTTATGTAGGAGGTAGAGTATGAAATGACTCTGGCTGCATCCGGCTGTTGCAGCCACACACCGGACCAAATCTGTGTCCTGGTTGTCTCTGTAGCCTCAAAGAGGCCCTTGTTCTGATCCTTACGCAGAGCCACTTAGCAGAGCAGCCACAGCAATGTATACAACGTTTTCTGCAATACAGTTTCACTTAATCCACATATGGATTTAAAACATACTTTGGGGCATTTTCTGTTAGCTGAATTTTGTCTCTCAATTATTGGTCTGCATTGGGATCTCATAATGCTGTTGAAGTTCTAATACGTTGTTTTAAGTCCACCTTGCTGACTAACTCAATACTATCAGACAGACTTTTTGGATAAGCAGGAAGCGTGCTAAGCTTAGATATTCATCTTTTATTATTTTTAAATACATTCTTTTTGGTTGAATTGATTGACATTCAGTGCCAAATAGTAATAAATTGTCTACTTTCATGTTTATTACTGAATGTTAATAACCTAGTAGTCATCCAAATAAGGATGTAATTACATGATTTTTAGCAGCAAGCTGCACAACATTGAATTGCAAACTTTGTTTAGCTGAGCAGGTTGAGAATGGATACGTGATGCATATACTGCCTTGCACCAGTGGCAGTATTCAGGCACATTCTGAGGTAATAGTTAAGGAAACTACTGATCTTAAGTAGCACTTCTTTCTTTAACTCAGGAACAGGTATTGTAGAAGATACGTTTTATCATCTGATGAATGTAAAACAAAGTTGCACTGAGGTAGGGGGGTTTGGGTAATTTTTTTGTTTTGAGTTTTGGTGTTTGGGGTTTTTATAAATTTTCTTTTAACTATAATGACAGTCAAGTAGTATGGGGAATTTCAGAATGAGGTATCACCCTTTTTGGTTTTGGGTAATAGAGTCTTCATTCTAGTTTGGTTCCTAAGGGACTTCTTTGGTATATAAATATGTACATTTAGTCAAAA